ACAATTTCTATTGGACTTGCTCACCTACTCAGAAATAAGGTAAAATTTTCACATACAAGCTTTTTTCCAGGTTTTCTCCTTCATAAATTTAGCCTCACTTAAACCCTCTTACTATCACTATTTTGACAATACAAATATTTCTACAATATATAAAAAGCTATATACAAATATAGCCTGCTTCTGCAATACGGCTTACTTAAATGGCGTCTTGTCACTTGGGGTTAATGCCAAACTCACTATTTAGGAAAGGTAACTTGGCTCTAGCCTGTAATTCAGAGGAAATTCAGTGCCTTATTTTCCTTCATTTGCACAAGTCAGGTAGTAATTAAAACTTCCTACATTCCCCAATGAGTGATCCTGTTTCATGCTTGCAAAGATCTCATGACTCTTAAAAGAAGGTAGGGAAGGTTGTTATAGGAGCAGCATTGAGCTTGTGAAATTGCATTGAGATCACAGGAAGGTGAAAGGTGGATAAAGGTGAATACACTTGAGTATCTTGGTGAAAAGCTATTGTTAATCACTAAATTAATGCTGTTTTCCCTTCTATTTCCCTTGCTGGAATCACACTCACTAAAATTGTCCTAGTAGGAGTGGTGACTATGCAGAAGAAGAAAGCAACGCCTATGTGCTTACCTGAAATACCCTTTTCTTTTTGTAGAAAGTTCCACTGACTGACCCAACTTGGACTAAGTAGTGTTAAGCTGTCAGTCAACTGCAGATTATTACACCCTCTAAGGCTGACAAGTTCAAATGAGGGGCACACAACATCACAAACTCTTTTAATCGGACTTTTCAGGGAGTGTGGACCACCTTGCACGGGAAAACATACAAAATCCTGTCCCCTCCTCATTTAACCTCTTCCCTCCCCCATTATTTTTCCTGTCAGACAATGTTCCCTTTTCAGGTTCTAATAGCACAAATACAATGTAAAAGAGAATAGCAGTTTGATCATACTTCAGCCAGGAATTAATGTTACCTTGAAAGATAACTATAGTGTTTCATTTTGACAGACAATCAAATTTAAGCCTTTTTTCTCCTACCCTTCAAAGCACATCTGCTTTTCAATCCAAATTATTTTGTGGAAGGATAAAATAAGTATGTTAAAATAAAGGGACCACTTAAGCCTTTTTTTTTTTTTTGTAATTTTTTTAAGGTCTTAGGCTATAACATACTGCAAAACTGGCCTTATTAACTATGAACCATACAGCACTTTGAAAAAACATCATGTAAACTATTGTCCTTCTCCCACATATCTGTACCTGAAAATTAGGGTTAGGATTGGGATATGGAAGCCAAGCAGAGCGAGAGTTTTCCTGGTATTTGAAGGGTCCATTAAAGGCCTGAGTTATGGCGCTCAGGTTGAAAACACAAACTGCTGAGGCTGCTATGCTGTTCCTGCAAAAGAAATATAAACATTAACCTAAGTAACAACATTAAGAAGTCCATTTGCTGGAAAATAAATTAAAAAGGCAATAACTCTCCAATCCTTTAAGCAATTAATAAAGCAGATACGATCAGCCAGGAGATGATATCTCAAGCTAATGATACATGATGTGCTGATTTAGGCACAGATATTGGATTTAAAATTTTTGTCAGCCTTGCCAAGTAGTTGGTGTGGGAGCAACTCAGAACTTCCTACCTTCTGCTGCTGCTCTGATACCACAAGGCTATATTTCCACACATAATCACACACACTAGGGACACCTCTCTTCTAGTTACAAAATTCAGGATGAGATTATTCTCAGGGCTCATTAACATTTCTTCTAGACCAATGGCAGCACAACAGAAGTAAGGATTTTCAATGTATGGTCTGTCTCTAGACCCTATGGAACACCTAGGTACGACACCTCCACAAAAATCGTGTCTTCCAAGAGATGTTGTACAGCAGTAAGAATGCAAGGTCAAGAAACTCATCAAGAGAAAACAACTTGGAATGCATATTTTACAAGATACTCTATTAGGGGAATAAACAGAAATAAACAGCAGCCAGGCAAAACATACAATTTCCTGTTCTTGTCTTGAAAATGTGATATACATGACAATAAAGTAATTCTGCACAATGTAAAGAATATAATCCAGTGACTATGAGAGCTCATAATATGGAAAACTGCATTATTCTTTTCCACAATTTGAGATAAAGGGATAGATAATGAAGGTGGCAGTTGCACAAATTTCCATTGCAGGTAAAACTGCTGACAGTTGACCCACGCAGCATTATTTTTTTCTTTATTTCTTTTTTTAAACTTAGCCTGTAATTTACACAAGGCTTAAGAAAGCATACTATAGAAACTCCAAAGTGATGGAAAGAAAAAAATAACCCCAGGGGATCAAATCTACCAACGATTGAAAAGAAGAGTTAGGATATATGGATTTAATGGCAGGATAAAAGAGCAATTTGCTTTCTTATGCTTGTCACTCTTATTTCAAAGGAATCCCAAAAGTTGAAGTTTCATGCTCACAATTTCTGCAGAATCAATTATCGCTGGATTTGGTAATTCCTTGCCTATAAAAACTATCACTAAATGCAGTTCACTAATATTGTTAACCATACCAATGCCTTCCTGAATTTCTTGAAGTCCTTAAAGCACATTAGACTCATGTTTACAGATTTTCAGATAGTCCGAAAGAAACAAAATAAGTTTCATTATGAAGCAGTGGCTATAGTGGACTTAATAGTCAACCACACATAAGGGATGCAGGTTTTGCTATTACTCAGTCTTTATTGACAGGAATGTTTCAGTCCCTCCCCCCTCAGTATATTAACGTATATTCACAGTATATTAAAAAAGGCACTAGGGTACAATAAAACCATTGCAATTCTGAAGATATTGAAATCAAAGAATGTTGAAAGTTTTTCAATAATATCTGATGCTGTTACACCAACAGAAAGGAATATGTTGTTCCCCCTCATGGGAAACCCTGGTGCTTGTCCATCATCAGGTTGCAGGGCTGAAAGCTGGATCATATGGATTGTGCAGAATCTGTGGACAGGTATTCAGCATGCAGAAGTAATCCTAACTCTACAACTTTTCAACAATGTCCAAAAATTTAGTTACAATATTTCATGGCAGGAACAAATATAATTTAAAGGGAGTGATCAAAAAACCCAACCCCCAAACAGTTGTATTTAATTCCTCTTTGAACAGTCCATCTCTGTTGGACAAGGCAGAATGCTGAGCCATTGGAAAAGAAGGAAGTAGCAGTAAGGTTTCAAATGCTGTCTACTTTCATGTGGCAAAGGTACTCTTACATTAGCAAGTCCATTTTCAGAAGAGCTAGGTTGTGCTGATGGCAGCCCTGATATCCTTACTCAGCCTCAGAAACTGTGGAATTTGTAGCACATGAAACTCTATCATTCCCCAAATTTTCAGGACAGCCCTTCTGAGAGAAGAGCATCGTTCCCCTTCCATAGCCAAAGTCCTGTGGATTTTCTGAAGCAGAATTACTCCGGTCAGACTTTCCGTGGCAGGCTATTTCAACTTCTCATGAAAGATCATGTTGAACTGTGGATGAGCATGCCACTTGAGAAATATCTGTCTTCTAAGATTTGAACTAGCTAGTAAAACAGACCAATAAAATTAAAACTACTGATGAAAACAGCATCAAATTTTCTTATTCCCAGTAGTCCCAAAGTCTCCACTATTCTCTTTTAAAAAGTGGCATTTAGATTCACTACATTAGTCCTTTGCAAGAACAGGGTTAAGCTCATCATCCAATGTGATAAGTCAGGAATCATCACAGCCTGGTGCAAGCAGCCCCTCACTAGTCACGCTCACAGCCTGAGCTGCTCCGCCAGGGCCGAGCCCGAGTATGGAAGATGCCTTGATGTGTTAAGAACTATACCAAAAGCAGGAAAACTAGCTTAAGCTCAAATTTATGCTGTCTAAAATACTTATGGATCATAATTTGTTGGCATTGATCTGTGACTGTTTCCACCCGCTTAATGGATATTTATATAAAGTAGGTATCCAGGTGTTTACAGCAGTCATAAGGGGCACTGATCTACATTTTAGGTGCCCAAGTACCTTTTAAAATTCTAGGTAAAACTGAATTACACAGCAAGATATGGCAAGCAGGTAAGAAAATCAGAAAACAATATCTGGAACTCTGTTCCAGTGGTCCAAACACTGGTCTGCACAGCCATAACACGTAGGCTGCTCTCACCGAGCAGCATACGAACTCCAGTTATCATGTTTAAAGTAAAAAAGGACATTTCTGAGATTAATGTCTTTTTCCTAAGAGTTAAGCAACTCTTGATACCAAGCTCAGAGTTTATGGAGCTTTTATGTCCACCCAATGTTTTAATATTTAACAAATTTTAATTTTTAAGACCAAACTATATTTTTTAATTTTACCTTGTTGATATAAAAGATTCAGTTAAAACTAGATTAAATTCTTAGTTTGACTCTCAAACTCATGTGAGTAGGTTAGTACTAAACCAAAATATGTAAGAGCTCCTCTTGTGTTCTTTTGGGTAAGGTAAGCTCTTCCAGACATGGTCAAATTACATCATGTCAAGTTCAAAATCATGTCTCATTACAATTATAAAATACTTATTTCATAAAAAAAAATGTATTTATTTATTTATTACAATACTATGCAAAATAAAAAATAATGTCTTTATAAGAATGTGTCACCGTTTAAGGCTGGGCCGG